GGATACCTCAAATGCCCTGCTGGGGAGTTTACACCTTCTAATAATGAGGATCCTGTGACAGCAAGTAGGAAGAATGACATGATGAAACTGTTTTAAGAAGAGCATCTTGACAGCATGAGAAGGTGTTAGATAAAAGATGAGAGGCAAGACCTCTGACCTCTGAAGAGTAGTCCCAGAGGGAGTCCATGGGAGAGGGAAGGGGTGGAGGCATGGAGTAAGGGAAGAAGCTAAAAAGAGCTTAGAAGAAAAACAAGAGGCTAGGAAGTCTGAGGGTGGTTCTGAAAAGTGGGGAGAGAGGAAGAAGGTACAGGTGATTCTAGCATCTCCAACATGCAACTGGGCAGTGATAACCACTGGTGGCGGCAGGCAGTTCAGGATACAGAGCTCATTGAATACACAGATAAGATAGGATGCGTCTTCAGTGCCAGAGGGATGAGCAGGTGGGGAGGACCCACGGGGTGGAACTTGGAAGGAAGGGCCAGCAGGACTGGGGAGGAGCCCACCTCTGAGAGGTTATGGTGGGAGTCCCAAAGCACATTAGGGTCAGCATACGTGGCAGATGGATAGGAATGGCACAGGGCTCAAGTCTGACCCCAGCAGGAGTCTCACGGTCTGGTCTGGATCTTCCAAAACAGCGACAATGACCTGCTCTAACCATCTTTGGCCTGCTGGGTTGACTCCTCTACCAGTCCTGAGGGCTCCTCCCTACCCCAGCCCTCTGTGGTGCTAACTTTTCTCCTCTTTCTCCAAAAAGGCTTCCAAATGTTCTCTTCCAGCTGCATTGTGGATGAATGGGTACCCACCCAGCAGAGAAATTAAGGGTAGGGAGTGGTGGGAAGCCAGTGGATGACAGTCTTCCTCAACCTAAACACAAAGACATTTGTGCAGCTGTCGCATGAGTTTGCGTGCATCTTACTCACTTCCCAAAATAACCCTGTGTATATTCAGTTGGTGAAAATTCAAGCTGTGTCTTATGATCTGTATACGTGTCTGTGTTGTGTTTCAATAAAAAGTTTTTTTTTAAAAAACCCTAACTCTGAAATAGTTAGCCCCATGTTACCAGGGGGAAATTGAAGTTTAAAAAGGTTGAATGGCTTGGCTAAGGGTCAGGGTCAGTAGCTGAGAGTCAAAGCCAGGTCTGTGGGTCCTTCTCCCTGCTGCTCCCCTGAGGCGCTAAGATGGACATGGACAACGTTGGGTCTTTAGACCCAGGTTTTCTGTCAAGCCTCCCCTTGAAATATATGCCTTCCAACTCTGTCCTACTTCTGTTCCCAATAAATGTCCGTTGTCACAGCACCAGGGCAGCCATGTGGCACATTTCTTAGTCAGAACCCAGGACCTGGAGGCAGGAACTGGAAGGGACAGTCCCCCTGATTTGGGGGCCTGGGCTTGAGCTCATCCTGTTTTGAGCCTTGATTCCTGCTGGGGGCTCCAGCGTGGCCGGTTGGTGTCTGAGGCTGACCCCCATCAGCCAAGTTTAGCTCAACGGCCAAGCTGACAATTGAGTTTGGGGGATTTAGTTCCAATATGAGATTTAGTTGGAATCCGTATGACAGCAGCTTTGGTGAAATAGTTGATTGATGTGCAAAAGGCCCTTCTGAGTGTCTCACCTGGTAGCTCAGCCTAGCAGGCCGTACCCATTGTCCGGACATCGTGGTCTGGGGTCTGCACAGATTGGTGAGAGGGCTATGACACGAACCTGGCACCCGGACTCCACTCTCCTCTTTATGAGGCTCCAGCCTCTTAGACCAAGTCTCACCCAAAAAGGTGCTTGACGAAGGAAGTCTAGAAAGCAAAATGACAGGAGGAAAATGGGGACCAGAGGACCTTTGCTTCAGTGAGGCTAAGATCAGAGCATGACAGCAGAGGTCACCTGGGGAGGCTCAGGGAAGCGTGGGAGTCATGGCAGGAGCTTCCGACGCCTAGGGCTCCCTCCCAGTCTGGGCTGGATGCCCGGAGAGGACAGCACCCTCAAGAGATGGATGATGGTGGGGCGAGGCTGCTTGCGGCCTGTCACATTGGTCAGCAAGGATGCCAAGGTGGCATGACTGAACAGGGAGGTGGCACTCACCTTGCCCAAGGGACCCTGGAGGAATATTAATGGAAGGGTACACCAGTCATTGTCCAGGGCTGTCATTTTTGTCTCCTTCTGCCCTGCAAGTCTTTCCACAACCCTCAGAAGTAACAACACATTCTACTGGCCACATTCCATCCCCAATACTCATATATGGGTGCCAAGTCTCTCTCCCAGAGATAGAAACCTGATCTAGACCTTCCTATACCTTTATAGTTTGTTTTGTGGTCTCTCCTCCAACACAGATGTTTCCACATGGAGGATAATGTCCCCTCCTAATTCTTTCTCTCTCCAAGGTCAGACCTGGCATATTTCCTGAGAATCTTGCCCTATTGGCTTCACAGGAACTGGGAGCACTTTGTCCTTTTGGTCATATCTCTGGCCCCTGAGCCAACACCATTTCTTAACTGAGCTTCTTGGCTGCTCTCATTCCTCTCCAACCCCAGGCCAATTCGCTCCCTTCACCGTGATTTTACTGATCTTGGATTTCGGACAGGGACCTTTCCCTTCTTCCCTGTCTCCAAGTCCCACACAAAGGTCCCATGACTTACCTACTATCCAGCCCAAGCCCACCACCCTAGAGAGAAGCACCCACTGCTCATACAGGAACAAAAGAGCAGGTGTCTTCTTGATGAAAGGCCCAGAGTGATCTAACCCCTGCACCCTTAGCTCTTAGTGGCCAGTTTGTGTCTTTGCCCCTCTGGGCAAAGTTTGTGTCTCAGGAAGAACCCAGAGAAAAACACACATGATGCTAACACTAAAGTTTGGGCTGAGGCATGGAGATGCAGTAAATAGGTCCTCTATTCCATAAGTGTCCAGACAAGACCACATGCCACATTTTTCAAGCAAATGATTGAGAGGTGTCCCTTTAGCCCTTCATCCATAACAAGAATCAGTTTGGAGATGGAGGGGAGGGTTGGGGAGGACTTTGAGATTGCTTCAAGCCGTGCCCTCACAGGGAAGGATTACTTCAACAAGGTCTGTCACAAAAGGCTTCAAGACACAAAGAGTTTGATATGTCCCAGCGTGTGGGGGATGTGTCCATCAGAGAAATCCAGTGGCCAGATTGTGGCTTCCCTCTTCCACCCAGGCTAGAGGGAAAAACAAGTGGCTGCCTCAAGGCTGGCCTGCAGTCTAAAGGTGTCAGAGCCAAGGATGCTTGAGGCTGGAGCTGTTTTTTCCCATTGCTCTTCCCACACTGCAAACTAGAAGAGTAAAGAACTCCTACAGATAAACATATATCGAGTGCATGGGCAGAAAACTCAGGACAGATAATAAGACAGAGAAAGTGCAGAAGCTGGAGAGGGGCCTTAAAGGGAAAACTTCAAAGAACCCTTCCCCAGCTGGCGTGGCTTAGTGGGTTGGGCATCGTCCTGCAAACCTCAGGGTTGCTGGTTCAATTCTGAAGAGGGTACATGCCTGGGTTGCGGGCCAGGTCCCCAGTTTGGGCTTGCGAAAGGCAACACTCTCTTTCTTCTTCCCCTTCTCTCTAAAAATGAATAAAATCTTTAAAAAAAAAAAACCCTTCAAATAATTCATGAGAGTACCAAGGGGGAAAAGACTTTGAAGATCTGGAGGCCCAGAGAGCACATTATTATCTTATGACAGTGCAGTCAAGAATTTGTGGGCCCCCTTTCCCTCTTCCGCACCACACTTCAACCCCATGAGGATCAGCAACAGTAGCGAGCAAGGGAGGGGGAGGGAAGAGGTTGATTCAACCCCTTTCTACTCTGCTGTCTCCAGCTGCCACTTCTGGGCAAGCAGGAAGCCCACTTGCAACCAGCCCTTGCAGGAGAGGGGATTGTTCCTACCCCTAGATGAAGATCCAAGTGTTGATTATGAACTAATTATTTCTATGTACTAAGTTAAAGTGAATATAGAATTTATCACTTGAAAATGACCCAGATAAGTCATGGGACTACCAAAATTTTTATCCAGGGACGAGAGAAACTTCTTCCACTGAATAAGTTTTAGGAAAGTGGGAGATTAAATATAGTTATATTCCAACAAGTTAATGTTGTTTAAATCCTAGATACAGACACAAAGCCAGTCAACCAATAGGACTGACAAAAGTCAGTGGATGCTATGAATACATAAGGACCCTTAGGCTGTTTGACCCTCTCATTTGACTGGTGCTATATCTATAACGGTGATGATGATAACAAACTCTCTTTGACTTATATTTTGCCAGTCTCTGTTCTAAGCCCCTAAATCTTAATTCTTTAATTTTCACTGCAGTCCTGTGCTTATTAAGCAAACGAGTAAATGGTGACTTAATGCAGGCTTGCGGTAGGGCTTAACGCTGGTAAAACAAATCCTTGCTTCATCTGATCTCCCAGCTCCAAGGAAACTTAAAGGATGAGGAGGTCGTACAGAAGCAAGCTATGTACTTAACTATCTTTTCTACTACTGGGATCATTCTACTCTCCATACTGTCAGGTATCCTTGACCAAGCTCAGCTTTTCTCACAGTATTCCACTATCCATGCCATCTTTTCCATTTACCTAAATCCTGCTTCATCTTCAAAGCCTACCCCTCCTGCAGCCACCTTGCCCAACTCAGTCCAAATGCCTCTTAGCTAAGCAGATGACCCCATTTACAGAGGGAGAAGGGGCTCAGCACAGGGGAGAGACTTATGCAAGTTCACGCAGCAGAATTAATTCTCACTGGAAGAAGAATTTGGGGTCCTGATACCCAATCTAAGGCAGCAACTCTGGAGCACGTTAGCATGGGAGCTGATTATGCCTGGGCATGATCACTCCCAGGGTGAGGGCATCAGCCCCGAAAGCATCCAATTCCTCGAAGTAGTGGTGGGAGAGAACTAGCTTTTATTGGAGGACTAGATGTGGCAATAGGTGATGGAGGCAGTTCTCAGTGCACTGGAGTCAGGAGCTCAGGGCTGGTGGGGGGAGGGGCAGGGCTAGGGCTATATGATGGTGAGGTGAGTAGAAGCAGGGACACCACAGCTTTCCTTGTGTTCCTCAAACAGTTGCTGCAGAGCCTTCATGTAGAGCTCATGGTAGTGGTCAACCTCCTCTTCAGTGGGGTGGAAGCGCTGGGGCACCGGGATGGGGCGGCCCACTGCAGGGAGAGGGGAGATAGGTGAGGTGAGAAGCCTCTGCTGCCCATACAGCTGATGGCAGCTTTCTTCCCTGGAAATGAGGACTCACCCACAGTAGTGATGGGCACAGGGAAGGGCAGCAGGCCCCAGGAGTTGGCAGAGAAGAGACCGCGGCCCCAGAAGATGCAAGGAGAAAAACCCATGATCTTCTTGAAGGTGATCTGCCACAGATACTGCCAGGAGTCTTTGGCAAAAACCTTAAGTCTGAAGACATCATTCTCCCCAAAGGAGTACACAGGCACCAGGGAGGCCCTGGAGGGGAGGCAATAGAGGAGAGGGGTGGTAAGACCAGCAGCTCTTGGAGCCCCAGAGAACAGCATACCCCTCCCCACACCTCATGATTCCACTCCCCAAGGTCTTAAAAAAATGACAATGGCTACAAAGAAAGATATGGAACATGGGACTCACATTTCTTGAGAAATGGTTGTATACTCAACCTCCATGTACACATTTCCTCATCTAGTTATTACAACCACATCATTGCAAGACAGGTGTTAACTATTTCATAGGTGAAGAAATGTGCCTATGCTTGCTTTTCAAATAGTGTCAGAGAAGGATTTGAACCCCACGCTTCTGATCTGAAGAGTCTGCTATTTGCACCATGACCTTTACTCTCTTGGAGTGAGAGGAAGCCTCAAAAGTGGTCAGAGTGCTTGGCACAGAGTGAACTCAAGCACTAACACAAATGCCTCTGGTTTAGGGCACAGTGTGAACTGTAGGAACACACAATCTGACCTACAGGGACCTGGATGTGTAGAGACAGAGAGTGTGCACCCTCAGGCACACTGTGGAGTTCTAACCATTAAAAGCAGACTTGACCTTGGCTGGTGTGGTTCAGTGGATTGAGTGCCAGCCTGTGAGAGTCAATCTCTCACACACTGATGTTTCTCTCCCTGATCTTCTCCCTCCCTTCCTCTCTCTCTAAAAATCATAAATAGTCTTGACTGGTGTGGCTCAGTTGGTTGGAGCACAGTCCTGCAAACCAAAAGGTTGTGGGTTCAATTCCCAGTCAGGGCACATGCCTGAGTTTTGGGCCAGATCCCCAGCTGGGGGTGTGCAAGAGGCAGCCAATCGATGCTTCTTTCCCTCTCTTTCTTCCTCCCTTTCCCTCTCTCTAAAAAAATAAATAAAACCTTTTTAAAAATAAAAATAATTTAAAAATCTTAAAAAAAAGAAGAGTAGCTTTGGTCCGGGCACCAGCACCGCACTCCCCTATGCCTCAGTGCCAGGCGTGTGCTCCCCCAGCCTCAGTGCCAGGCGTGCGCTCCCCCAGCCTCAGTGCCAGGCGTGCACTCACCCATGCCTCAGTGCCAGGTGTACAAAGCCTTTGCGATTCCGGAGAACGAGGTGATGTTTTCCTGGGATTGCACTCAGGGACTCCTGGGCACCCCCAACCAAGATGACCACAGCCTGCCCAAGCTGGGGCCGTGACAGAATAAAGTCCAGGCTCTGGCGCTTCACAGAACATATTCCTGCAGGTATGAGGAGGTGGGGAGTAGTCACCACCTCCTCCTTGGCTCCCCAGCCCTTCACCTCATCCTTTAGAATCTGAAGGGGGAGCCCCACATCCCATTCCTTCCAACCTCCCTATCCACCATGCCCATGTCACTGTACCCTGTGGTATCTGTTCCAGCAAGGACATTCAGTGATGCCCTCTGTGGGCCTGGCCAGTGTTCAGGCCAGGTCCCTGAGCTGAGTGGGTGGGGTTACCCTGGCCAGAGGGTACCTCCTCCCACTCAGCTGGAGGCTCACCGCTGGACATGATGTAGTCCCGATAGATTGGGACGTAGAAGAGAGAGTTCAGCGCAGTTAGTGAGGGCCGAAGCCCAGGGAACTTCTGAGAGAAATTGGTGCTCTCAGTGGAGAAGTTACAGACGCTTCCGATGCTCATGATCCCATGTGGGTGAGAGCCAAACACATAGTTCCGGTCAGGGGGCAGCTCTGCTGTTTTCACCAGCTTTGGGGTGTTGGGCAGAACGAGAGGAAGAAGGCATAGACGTCAGGACACCTGTGGAAAAGTGTTTTCCCTCCACCCCAACAGACTGCGGAGTTCAAAGTCCTAGGATGGGGTCAAGGGCACAGGGGGTCCACTCTGGAACACCACTCCAGCCCCTGCCCCATTGCCTTAGCTTTGGCAGCTGGGGCTCAGGCTCCAGCACAGGGAGTGGTGAATAGGTGGGAGAGAAGGGAGGGAGAGGGAGGAGGCAGAGAGTCTCTCTCTCGAGTAACCAGTCACCTTGATAGGATAATAATCCCTTAGGTGTTTCCACAGGGCCCAGTTCCTTATCCACTCACACCGCCTTCCACCTGGGGGCAGAGAGACAGGGGTGGAAGAAGCCCTGGGGCCTCCGAGCTGCCATTTCTCATCACACAGGCCCTCTTTCCAGCACTCACCTTGGTGGGGTGTGTCCCAATCTAGGAAGAGCCATGTCAGGTAGAGAACAGAGAATAGCCAGAAGGATGTGAAGAGGAGGTAGAAGACAAGAAGGGATAAGAAAAGACCTGGGTGAAAGATAAGAAAGAAAAATGAATTGACTTCTGAAATCAGTCATTTCATCCAGCTTCCTTTCCTCCACCCTCAGGGAGCCTATCCTCCAACTATCTCCCATCCTTACTTACATCCACCCTCTCCCCTTCTCTTTGCCCTTGGGCATCCAAGTAAGTGGAGCTCCAGCCTTCCCCCCCGCCGCCCCCCGACCTTTCTCCCCCTGCAGACCCCAGGCACCCATGCCTCTCCCACTCCTCGCACCCATGAAGAGGAAAGTGAGCACGAATTGGTAGGCGAACACTGCTTCCAGCCACCGCTTCTGCTGGGTTTTCATGGTGCAGGAGGGCCGCAGGAAGGTGGAGACTCCTATCCCAGTAGCTGCCCTCTGCCAGCAGGGCTCCAGGACCCAGAGGACAAATGATGAAGGTTTTCCGCAGGCGCCTGGGTAGGCTTTCTCGCCCAGGGGTCGAGCCTTTGGGACCTCCCGGGATGCGTGCGTGTGCGCGCACGGGGAGTTGTGGATGAGGAGATCCTTGGACCCGGAAGTCTCCAAGCTGTTCTGAGACTGATCTTTGAGCTTCCAGAGTCTGCTCAAAGACGGCAGGGCGGCAGGGCTGGTCTGGGAGAAGGGAGGGGCTGTGCGAGGAAGGTGAGGGAACTATTGTGCAGAGAAGACAGAAGACGCTGGGCAGCTCGAGGACTGGGCCCCAGCCAGTGTCTGATCTCTAGTGAAGCAGAATAGGCCCTTGACGCGTCCCTGGGATCTGTTTGAAGGTCTCCCGGAGTATCAAGGCCACCAGGAGCTTCGGCCAAGAGCGGCGGGGGCGCGCGCATACCTCCCCTGCTGTGCACAAACACACACAAACACCAACGGTCTGTTTCGCCTTTAATATCAATATCCCTTTCCCCAGTCACCGATGGGTCCGATAAGTGCTGAGAGGCGGCGGCGCGCTTAGGTGAGGACGAGACGCCGGTAGGCCGGGACCCCGTAGCGCCCCTTGTGCTCTTAGAACAGCCGGTGAGCCTCTCCTTGTACAGCGCGTGCGGCGCGGCCACCTGCGCCGGGCTGGGCCGGGGGCTCCGCTGCACAGGGATTGGGGCCCCGACTGTGTGCGGGCCTCCTTCCCGCCCGCAGCGACCGTCCGGAACAGAGGTCACGGCCCCGGCTGCTGTCAAAGGCCAGCCGCGGGGGCGAGGCCGGTGAGGCCGGCGTGGCTGACAGGCGGCGGGCAATCGGGCCCCAACCAGCGACCTTCACCACCCGGCGCGGGAAGCATGCAAGGGGGCTGAGCACCAGAGGATCACCAGGCTCACCCACGGAGTAGATGAGCCTGCGGAAAGGCAGGAGGAGGCCCAGGCAGCCGTGAAACTGTGGCAGGGCCACGCTCCGCACCCGCTGCAACCCTTCCTGAGCCCTCCACACCCAGGAGCCCGATGGGTTTAGAAACTGCTGGAAGACCTCGTTCTCTCCAAAAGAGAAGACAGGCACCAGAGAGGCCGGGGAGGGGGGGGGGGCGGGGAGGCAGAGACACGCCTGATTCCGGGCCCAGGGAGCACGCTATTCTCCTCCTGCACAGGGCGTTCCGGGGCGTGCCCCGAGGGCCACCTGCGCTTCCTCACCCGTATTTCAGCGCCAGCTTGACAAATCCCTTCTGATTTGTATCCGCAGACTCAGCGCTCCGGGCTTTGCCTCCAGCACCTCCGGGGGCCCTCCTACCTCCAGGACTGCCACCTGGCCGCCCCCAGGCCGCGGCAACAGATAAGCTGCGCTGGCCTTGGCAGAGGACACCAAACCTGGGGAAAGGCAAAGGCTGAGGAGGGGTGAGGGGCTGATGCCTGGGTCCCCCAGAGGAGAGGAAAGGGAGAGGAGGAAGGTAGTGCTGGGACCAGGAGCCCCCAGAAGGAAGGAATGCAGGTAAGAGGTGACAAGGGATTACAGCTCCAAGCTCTGGCTCCCCACTCCTCTCCACTACACATGATGTAGTCCTGAAAGAGAGGAAGATGAAACCAGCAGGGCAGCATGAACTGGTGCAGGCAGAGGCCGGAAAAGATGCACGAGAAGCCCGTGGCCTCTGTGCAGAAGTTGCTGAAGCCTCCAATGACCAGGATGCTGTGAGAGTGGAAGCCGAAGAGATAGTTGTGGGAGGGATCCAACTCTGTGGTTTTAACCAGCTGGGGAGCAGAGGATGCACACTCAACCCTGACGACAAGATTGGACTTTTGGGGATGATGATCGGAAGGGTCTATTCTGTATCCCTGACCCCAACCCAGCACCGGGTTCCTGGGGACCCTCCCTGAGATGGGGAAGTAGTCCCGGAAATGTCTCCAGATGGCCCAGTCGCAGACCCAGGCAGATAGGCAACCTCCTGTCTGCAGAGTGTGCCTATTTCCATAGAGCCAGACCAGGTAGAGGACCACTGATATCTAGGCTCAGCCTAGAAGTGCAAGGAGCAGGAAGGCCAGGCACACCTGGGCTGGACAATGGGGAAGGGGTTTCAGGACCCAGGTGTTTAAGTCCCAGGTTTCTCCTTTGTCCCCCTTTCCTGTCCCACCTAATTCCTCCTCACTCCTTCAAGGACCCCAGAGATCCTGCCCCACCTCCCTCCTTTGTAGTAATGGGGAAGCAGAGCCCCGGGTGTGCGTGAGGAGGTTAGGTCCAGTGCTTCAGGGACTCACCTAGTCCCAAGAAGAAGACCCATTGCAGGACAGCGAACACTTGGAGACACCTGCGGAAGCAGCTGGAGGAGGCTGGCATTTTTTGAGCAGAGCCACACAGCGGCCACCATGGGCTCTTAAACACACTTCTTTTTCGCCCAACCCATTGTCCTTGACCCCTAGCCCTGGTTCCACATCACTTCTGTCCCCTTTGCTGGTTTGCACACTAGGCTCTGACGAGCCCCAGCAAGGAAGGGTTAACCACTACCAGAGCTCTTGGAAAGAGCAGGGTGGGGGGGGTGGGTTGAGGAAGATGTTTGGACTCTGTGGCTGTCAGGGCCTCCCCCTCTGTGAAGAGCCAGTGAGCAGAGGTCTGGGCAAGTGAGGGGTTGTCAGAGTGCGGTGCACAATGAATGGCGGGGCTCCCAGCGCGAGTGAGAACGGCTTGAAAGCCTAAGACTAGGTGGGGAAAAGCTTAGTATCCACTCCAGAGCCACTCCAGAGGGCCCACTGTGCAGTGGCCACGCCCTCCAAGTGGGCTGGAACCGCTCCTCACTATCACCACGGCCCTAGCAACAGTGACCAGCGGCCTGTGGGAGCTGGCACCTTCTCCAGGTCAGGGAATGTCACTTTTTTTTAAAATTCCAATTGTGCTAATGCCAACATCACTACTATATTTGAGTCTGGTTGTGATGCTTGCTGTCTCTTCAAGCTGTGCTTTTTGCCTTTTAGTATGTCCTGTATTTTTTAAAATTTTTGTTTAAAGATTTTAATTATTTAATTTTAGAGAGAGGAGAAGGGAGGGAGAAAGAGAGGGAGAGAAACATCAATGTGCAAGAGATACATCCACCAGTTGCCTCTTGTTGCCCCTAACTGGGGACCTGGCCCGCAACCCAGGCATGTGCCCTGACTGGGAATCAAACTGGTGACCTTTTGCTTTGCGGACTGACACTCAGTCCACTGAGCCATACCAGCCAGGGCCAGTCCTGTATTTAAAAAATTTTTTTGCTGTTGTTGAAAGCCAGACCTCATGTACTAGGTAAAATAGGCCTTTAGCGATGTGGTGGGAAGATGTGAGGAAGGGGAAGCATTCTATAGTCCTCTGACTAAGGTCCCAATCATTTAGTGAGCCTCTATTCCTGGGCCATGAACTCCACACGTGCTTCTCAGGAGAGTTAGAAGGGGCCGAGTAGGACATTTTCCTTTCTCTAGGTTTGTCAAGCTCTGATAAAACTCCACTATATTAAGCTCTGGTAAAATAGTTTCTCTTGAGGTCAGGCCTTGTTAAGGACAGAATGCACTGGCATGGGGACTGTCACTTCTTTAGGAAAGTCTGACACACAGCCTATCAAGTGCCTCTGCCGCATACTCTCCTAGCATGAAACATTTCCCCTCCATCATGGTGATTTTCTGATTAAGGTCCACCCTAAACTAAGCAACAAGAGGCAAGTAATGTGCTCATCATTGCAGCCCTGGGATGGGTGCCTGGCAGTGGGAGATGCTTTGTAAGTAAATGGACCCACTGTAGGAGACAGGATATGCCAGCTTGCAAAGCCCAGGACCAACTGCTCAGGCTGGCACACCCTTTCTGTCCCACTCTTGTGCGTGCTTCCTCATCCAAGGACCTTACCAGGAGGTATGCTGTCCCTGCTTAGCCCACTTTCATCTACAGGGCACGTGGTAAAGCCAGTGGGGATCAGGGTGAGATGAACTTAAGAGTCTGCCCAGAGAAGTGCTCAGTCCACATGGTAAGGTGACCCACCCACTCAGGTGGCTTGCCCCACCCCACAGGAAAGGCTTCTTAGGGAAGTTTTCCTGGGGTCTAGGCAAGAGGCAGGAAATGTCCTGGGACGACAGGCCTTCTTGGTTTTTAAAAGGCTTCTTCTGCAAGGGAACAGTTGGGAGTTAAGTTCAGGAAGGTGGGCTGGTACAAGGCTGGGAAAGACCAAGCTGAAGGGGCAGGCCCAGCCTGCTGTCCTCAGGGTTCCTGGGTGGAGGGGTCTTGGCAAGAGCTTGACAGCCCCCTAGAGGCTGGAAGCAAGACCTGCTCTCAGGAGGTCTCGGGGTGGTGGGATATGGTTCCAACATTTTATTTGGGACACTGAAATTTGAATGTAGTATCATTTCCACCTGTGACAAAATATGATTCTTCTGTTTCTTTTCAATCATTTAAAAATGTAAACACTTTTGGCCCTGACTGGCGTGGCTCGATTTGTTGGGCATCATTCAGCAAAGCAAAAGGTAACCGGTGCAATCCCAGGTCAGAGTGCATGCCTGGGTTGCGAGTTGGGTCCCAGGTCGCCCCAGGTTGAGGCTTCTGTGAGAGGCAGCTGATGGGTGTTTCCTTCTCACATTGAAGTTTCTCTCCCTCTCTTTCTCCCTCCCTTTTCCTCTCTCTAAAAATAAATAAAATCTTTAAAAATAATAAATCAAAATATAAACTTTTGTTAGCGCACAGGTTGTGAGGAGGTCTCTTTTCCAAAGCTACTCCACATTCCTCTTCCAGGAAGTCTTCCCTGGAATGACCCACCAGGGCTTTCCCTTTCCTGATACGCCCCAACTACAAGCTCAGGTCCCAGCAGTGGCAGGTGAGGCCCCTGCCTGCCTTCCCTCATAGGGAAGCCTCCAAGGAGCCTTCCTTCTCTGAGCACTGTCCCTGGAGCTCAGCTCAGGGATATGCTACCCCACCCTTAATGTAAAGATGCCATCACGTGATGAGAGAATCAGGGAGAAGAGTGTGGGGGCTGGGTGGGGCGTGACTTTCAACTGAACCTGACAGAGAAGTCTTTTTGGTTTGGCCCTTCTAAGGTAATTCCCCAGCTCAGTCAGTAAAAGGCAGTGAGAAATGCGACCCAGGGAAGCTTGCAGGTTCCCATACATTCTGCTTCTGCCTTTTCCTCTTCTCTGTTCTTTTTCTTTGGATTAACTCCAGTCTCTCTGCTCTGGGTAGCAAGAGGGGTACAAGGTCAACAGGTCCATGAAAGACAGTAAATGGACTCAAGAATTACAAATCCTCCTTTATTGGGAGTGAGGCTAAGAAACAATAAGTTATCACACGGGGAACCCCCCGAGAAATTCTCTCCTCATGAACCCTTGGGGGCTGAGGGAAGGTTCGAGGGGGCTCCAGGAGCTTCCTGAGAGAGCTGTGTGTGTGGGGAGACAGTGGGGGGAGACATTCA